GGCCAAAAAATCGGATTTGGGTCACTTCAGGCTGCAGTGTGAACGTAGCCTTAGAGAGGTATGGGGCATTGCAGGCTAACTAAAGAAGCCAAATGACCCTCATTCCAAAGGGGTGGACTCATTCGTCTGTTTCTATTTGCATGTTTTCAAAACAAAAACAAGGCTTTGTTGGGATACTGTATAAAACCTCAAACTAAACGCTATTTCCGACATTTTGAATTGAAAAAGCTTCTTGGATGGGAAGCGAAACATCTTCAAACTTGGAAACAAAGTCCAGTGGATTGTTTTGTTTTTTTTTTAACTATGACCTGAATGAATGAGAATCTTTGCCAACATAAAAACAAGATAAACAAACCATTGTTGCTGCTCTTGAGTAAAGTCCTGCAACAGCAATAAAACAGCTGTTGTCTCTAAAGGTGGGTCACTTACTTCCCCCGCTGACCCCCAACCTTCATGTAGTGACGTTTCCTCTCAGATTTTCTACATTTCTCATAAAATCGTGGACATGTGTTCACTGTCTGACGGTGGACTGGTGCTAAATTGTCTCACATAATCCAACCTCAGGGACGTAAACACATTCAAGTCCTCTGGTGTGCTTTCCATGCTTGGATTGTTGGAGCTATCTGCTACTGTTCCCTGTGGGATCAGCTGCTGGAACATTTCCATCGTTGTATATCCGCCTGCAAAGGCTAAAGGTGAGCTTGGGAAGCAGGTTGTCGACGCGTCCAGTAAAGGGTCTGTTTTGTCGTCGTCTCCTCCGTCCCTCGGGCTCCAGATATGAGTGATGTCCAGAGAGTCTCCCACATCCTGACAGACCCTGAGAAGCTGCAGTTTGGACGGCGACATCTGAGGCGGGATTATGGCTTCCTTTTCCAGTATCTCAAGACTCTTTGTGTCCCACTCTTCTACCTTTAGAGCTGCTAATGCCTCAATGAGTTCCTGAAAGAAAGATAATGTATGAACAGTTTGCAGATCTTAAGTGAAGATGTTTACTAGTGGTCGAATAAAAGTGTGGAATTCTACCAGCTGAGCGGGGATTTCTATTTTCTGCACTGCGTCGCTGTGTTCAGGGTTGGGGATGCTTGGCCAGAGAGCAGCTTTGACCCTGAGCAGAGTCAATAGATGAGCTATGTTTTATTTTACGGTCAAAACTTGTAAAATGTAAGGTATACAATTTGTACCTTTTTATCAAAGGAGACCCAAACATCAGCAACAAAGTCACAAGAACGAAGACTGTGATGGCACCGCTGAGGCTAAAATTCACTGTACAAACAACACAAGATTAATTTTAATATTTAAGTTAAAAAAATTGATAAATTCTTCAGAAGTTGTTGTTGGTTATACAACCGTTCTTTTCTGTTTTGAAGACACTCGGAGCACTTCGTTTTCCTGCTCCTGCTGATGTGAATCCAGATATCTGGACTTGGTATGCTGTTCCACTTTTGAGGGTTTTTATGTTAAAGCTGGTTGTGTCTGGATCCACAGATACATCTGAGAAGAAGGGAGAGTTAGTTTGGGTTGGAATTTAATGAGGCACCAACAAAAAACTTGGTTTGCAGACCTCATCAGTACGATTTGGGGAAGAAATTTATCGATTTAAGCATCCATCTTTCTCGTATTCTTTCCACTCTAATACATACCAAGGATTCATACATTGTACAGAGCTTCTGGCGCTGCAATAAACCTCAGTTCATTGTCTTCTCTTGTCTAATCCTGACTATATCACTTTTATTTTATCTATACAATCACTCCAAACTTAGGTCCCATCTTGCAGGGATGCAGGTGCTAAAGGTTGCAAGGTGTGCAGAAATATACAAGACTGACTTCTGTCAAGATGTATTGTTTCTTCTTTATCAGACAAACTCTTAAAGTCTCCTTAAACACATAGTGCTGGTGTGCTGTATAACTATGGTTTTTAAAAGGCCAAATGAATTAAGCCTCCAGCATAAAACCAAAATCCTGCTGAATAGAAAGACCTTGTGCTCCTGTGTCACTCCTTTGCTTACAGCTTTTATCAACTTATGCATTATAAATACAGTAAACAGGACAAACCTACTTTGATGACTTAGCAGAAACAATTTTTCTTCTCACAGGAAAACAATAGCTCACATTTAGTGTTCTGCTACCAAAGTTATGGGTACGCTTTAGGTGGGGAAGGGACAATAGAGCTGGAAAGTCATACATTGCTCTCCATGCTCAATGAGTTTTAGGGATGAACTGATACAATGTTTTACAATAGCAATAAAGAAAATATCAGCATAACTGACACATACATTTACTACTCATTTTGCAAAACAAAATGTTATAAAAGGCTGGATCAAATGCAATAGAGAATAGAAAAATTAACTCTTTTATTTAATCCTTAGGTTACATAAACCCTAAACAGAAAGTGAGTATTTCTATAAGCATGCTGATTCTGGAGATTTTAGATATTGGACCAGTTTCCAATATCAGTATCATTTTGGGACAAAATCCTCCATTATACAGCACTTTTTATCAATAACCCCAGCATGTAGAGGCTGAAAGTGGCGCTTGTGCTTGCAGGGTCACTGCCACTCCATGTATCCCTAGATTCCTCGCTCTGCACCAAGGCCATAGGCAAACAAAGGTAGCCACTCTCTCTCATGGCCACTTTGTCAGACAGGACCTCGGGATAGCTAACAGACGCTGCATCGTGACCAGCGGTGCTAAATCTCATGCCAAGAATCCGAACTGCATGACAAAAGGTGATCAAACTGAGTCTGAGATAAACTTCCAAACCTAGTTCCTCTTCCTACATCCAATAAGTCACATGGGTTTCAAATCCACCATACTAAAGGATTTGTACACTTTAATTGCTCTTTTAAAGTATGAGACATTAATGACCCACTTTATAAACTAGGCTGACATGAATTTGTCAGATAATTTGTGAAAAACATAAAAATATAATTTTTCGAAACTGAACTAGGATATTCTTTACAAACTGTAGATTCTTTCAAGCCATTTAAAGCATCCGTGGATCGGGTCGTCGAGGCCTCTGCCTCTAACTGCTGCCAAATCCTCTTTGCAACGGTCTCTCATGATTCTCCCTGCAGGGGGTGGGCCCACTGGGGGGTGGCCTTGCATCACTCCTTCAGGCTTGGCCCAGCCAGGTCCCGCAAGGAAGAAACCACCCACCAGACACTCTCTGAGAACTTGGAGTCCCAGCTCCGCTGTACCGGGCAACGTCAGGTGCAGCAATTCCCTTAGTCTTAATAAATGGCTTTTATAACAGCTCTCTTTCTGACCCATCACCAGAGCCTTTTGCCGTTGGAGACCCTACCAAGGGCATTTATGCTACTGATGACATAGCCTCTGAGATCATCCGGGCACTGAAACACCTCTACTCCACGTTAAAGGGCTGGTTATACTCCTGCAGCAGTGTGTCGCAGTGAGCTTGACGCAGACATTTTTTATTTATGCCCAGTATTGAAGCGCGGTATGCACTATACGCTGTGGGTCTAGATACGGCCGAGGCAGTGAGGAAGTGGGGGCGAGTTTGTCCGACAACAGAGGGACATGAGGACAGACATGATAGCGGGTATCCAGGTGGAAAAAGGGCCCCAGCGTTCTCGCGCACCTCGCTCTTCTAGCTGGTCCAACTTCATGAGTCGTTTTCTGCAATTTTGGTCATAAAAGCAAAACAAGCCGGCCTCCTGTCTGCAGTCACCTACAATTTGGGAGAGGTGCAGCAGAGTGTCTGCGAAGGGGGCGGGGACGTCTTTTTGTTCACTGTGACACCTACTCAGATGACCTAGTTTCGAAGTATAAATCAGCCTTAAGGTGTTGTTTCAAGGAAGGAAGGAGGCGGTTCAAGGAGGGGTGGCTTGTCCCAGTCAGGTTGGAGGAGCTTTCTTGCCTCAAGTGAAGGCCTTATCAGGTCTTGTTGAAGAGTGACGGGAAAATGGAAAAGGAGAATAATAACGGATCGGTGTGGCTTCTGCTCTAGTCTGTTGTGGTGAAAAGTGAGCTGAACAAAACAGCAAAGCTCTCGATTTACTAGTCAGTCTACTTTCTCCACAGGGTGGCTGGGCTTTCTGCAGAGATAGGGTGAAGAGCCTGGTCATCAGGGAGAGGCTCAGACTAGAACCACTTCTCCTCCCTTTCGAGAGGAGTCAGCAGAGGTGGCTCGGACATCCTTTTTGGATGGCCCCTGGACGCCTTTCTCTAGGAGGTTTCCAGAGACGTCCCTCTGGAAGGATGCCCAGGGGACGATCCAGGACACCAGGGAGCGACTACGTCTCTCAGCTGGCCTGGGAGCACCTTGGGATTCCCCCAGCAGAGCTGGAGAAGGTGTCTGCAGAGAGGGAAGTCTCTAAGAGACTGTTGCCTCCGTGACCCGGTTCAAGATAAAACTGAAGACGACCAATACGAGATTCTTTCAAATACACCTGTTAATCATTTAATCTGTTTATGAAAAAAAACAAAAACTTTTGAATATCTTGAACCCAGCATCATTAAAACTTGTGAGTTGGATTTTTTGTTGCACCTGTAGCCTGAGATAAAATGGAAATGTTTGCAGACTGTGCCACTGTTCTTCTGATTGTCTCGGTCTGCTATGCTGTTTGCAGCTCTGACCTAAAGTTAAATTGCCTTAAAGGAGAAGTTCGTTTTTTAACACTTTTAGCCCATTTTCTGTAGTGTCCAGGATGAAATCGAATGATCGACACCAAAA